CTGAGCCAAAATTAATTAGCTTGGCTGCTAATCAGAGATAGTAGCATGGAAACACAGCTCTGGAATAGAGGATCTGAAGAACTGCAACAAGAACTGGCATGGAAGCACCTTGTATTTTGTTTTGACCTGGCTAATTCAATTTCCCTTCTTAGCCAAATCACTTTATAGACCATATCAACTGTCTTTAGGGAGCCACGGTAAAGGTGAAGTTGACACAGTCAGGTGTGGTAGATATAAACAAAGTGTAATAAGTTTTGGTATACTTTCATGGGTTGTTAGCCACTATCAGATTGTTATTCTAAATTACATTGGTGGATAGTTTGGAGGGAGGAGATACAGACAAACATAATTTGAGAAGGGGATTGTAAAATGTGAGGTCACAGAATAATATGGCTATTTTTCTAGAAATTTAAACAATATGCTTATCCAGTGTTTGTTTTAAAATTACTGCCTCTCTTAATTTAATCCATGCACCAATTCCAAGGGGGTACAGCTATACTCCATTATTCTTCACTGTGAAATGACTACTAACATACATCATAGCTTGCTTTACTTAAAATTTCCCACTTGCCTGTTATTTTCCAGAACACAGCAGCAAGAAACATGGGACCTAGAAGATACAGAAATATTGCAAGATGTAAGAAATCACGACTTGATCAGAAGAGCCATCATGAAGAGGTTAGGCTTCTCATAGAAGTGTAGTTTTCTTCTGATAAAATACCTTGGTGTTTCAACCATATCATTCCAGAGGAGCCTGCAGCTAACTGATTTTGTTAGCTAAAATCAACATTGCATGTGATCTTTTTTGTGGTCTTCCTACACAATTATCTGCTGCTGTTTCTGTTGCCAAGAGTGACCCAGGTTTGTCCTTAGAAATTGGTGATCAACAATAGTGCCTGCTGAAGTAAATACACAACATCCATTATGGAGGCAAGGCCTGCTTTCAGTGCCCCGTAGCTGATCTGATAGAAAGCTGCAGTATTATGCTAAATTACTCAATTGTATTTCATATTTACTCTCAGAATGCTCTGGACATTTTTAAAGGCTGAAGCCACAGACCAGTTTCCAGTTTAAATTAAACTAAACAAACTAACAGATTAAAGCTGGAGGAGGAGGATAAAAGGCAGTTTTTAGGACCTAATCCAAAGCATAAACCCCATGGCAATCAACCAACTGATAAGAAAGAAGGGAAACTCAACTACGAAGCAGGAGATGTAGGAAGTGAACATAGGGGTCAGTCAAAAAGGACTCATATGCCAATCCATTATCGCTCAAAATATGAGGAACAAACAGGGCAAATTTGAAGTCCTTGTACATGAGGGCAGATGTGACATTGTTGCCATTACCCAAACTTGGTGAAACCCATGTCTGGAACGTACTGCTAGAAGGATTTAAATTGTTCAAAAGAAACAGGCTTAACAAAAGAGTAAGGGGAGCTGCATTATATGTAAGAGATATCTATACCTCTATAGAAATGCAAAAAAGGATGAAAACCTTCATGAATGCATTTGGGTTAATATAAAAGGAATGACATTGCTAAAAATATGTACCACAAACCAGCCAACCAAACAGAGAAAATAGATGAACTTTCTGCTAATCAATTAATTAGACTTTCAGAAAGCATATCACAATAAAAATGGGAGACTCTTAACTACCCTGGCGTCAGTGGGGAGACAAACAGGTCTGAGAGTTAAATCTAATATTGCTATTTACATGCAAGTCTCTTGATTTGAATTGTAGCAAGAAAATGTTATTGTGTCTATGAATACAAAATCCATAGTTTTTGAACAATGGAATGCAAGTTTTACTCCTTTTTCTTGTTACTTTATTTTCAGGAGAAATTCAACCAAAGATGTGTCTAGCCCAAAGGAGAAGGTAACAAGCATATCATGCATATTAAATATCTTACTTGTCAGCCTATTATTTCAGTGATAATGCTCAAATGACCATTTTGATGCGTTAGTAACCACTTTTGGATTCTCTGCTATACCTCCTTTACTAAGTACCCTTATTGAAGAAATGAAGGACTTAGGTCCTCTCAGCCCCTTGTGTATAGGGCTGCATACAGATGTACTTGTACTTTGAAAAATGTATCAGGACAAGATTCAGCAGTCCATCTGCATTTAAAAGACAAAGCCCAGTTCTTTTGAAGACAGTAAAGTCCATATTTTGGACAGAGAGGATGGCTGGTTTGAGAGAGGGGTCAAAGAAGCCATCTATGTCAAAACTGAGCAGCTCTCTCTCAACAGTGGAGAGGGATATCTATCTCCAGTCTACAACACAGTCCTTTCAGCAGTTCCAAGAAGGCTCCATGCCCATTTGTACTACTCAGGTGACCCTGACAACACAGATAAATCTCCAGGTGGCCACAATGACATCAATGAAAAAAAACAAGAAATCCAGTTGCCTCTTGAAAAAACACCTTTGGGGCAACTATGATCTGGATGACTGAGAATCTCCATCTGGCTGGAGAATTCTGGGAGTTGAAGTCCACAGGTTTGCTATAGACATTGGGACAGAATGTACCTTTGTACTGCTAAATTTGTTCAGGAGCCCTGCATGAAATAATTAGTCAAGGAGTTCTTTATTTTTAATATCCAAAGTTTAATGTGACAATATTTTAAAGCAAGAGTTCATTTTCAGGTAACTTTTTCTTATGTTCTTTAATGATTTCTTGTTATTAGTGGCAAAGTTATGTCCGACCCATCGCGACCCCATGAACAACATTCCTCCACTCCTTCCTGTCCTCTACCATCCCCTGGAGTCCATTTAAGCTCACACCGATTACTTCAGTGACTCCGTCCAGCCACCTCATTCTCTGTCGTTCCCTTCTTTTGCCCTTAATCTTTCCCAGCATTAGGCTCTTCTCCAGTGAGTCCTTCCTTCTCATTAGGTGGCCAAAGTATTTGAGTTTCAGCTTCAGGATCTGGCATTCTGAACAGCAGTCAGGATTGATCTCCTCTAGAACTGACCGGTTTGATCGCCTTGCCATCCAAGGGACTCGCAGGAGTCTTCTCCAGCACCATAGTTCAAAGGCCTCAATTCTTTGGTGCTCAGCCTTCCTTATGGTCCAACTTTCACAGCCATACATTGCAACTGGAAAACCATAGCCTTGACTATACGCACTTTTGCTGGCAAGAGTATCTTTAACAATACTCTTCTCCATTTTACATGGATGAGATGCTTACTTAACGGCTATCCCTTTTCAAAAATCAAAGTCACATTAGTTATTTCCCAGTTCTTGGGAATAGAGGTATCAAGCTTGAAAAAAAGTGTCTTTTTTTGCCACAGTTAATTCAGTACTTTCAAGATTGAAGGAACTGGGATTAAGTTTATTGTTTACAGTTGAATAATATCAGTCTTATCTATGAATTAATTAAGCAGATTAATTAACTTTAAGTATGGGTAAGGCCTGGCCTAGCCTTGACAACTACTGCCCTTTAGATTTTAACAGACAGTAAAGATCAGTGATTACTTGTCACATATAAGAAAACTTTCCAAGTAGCAGTAGGTACTGCCTTCTTACTTCATACCAAGGTGAAATGGTTCATTGGGTGATGACTCAGTGTGTTGAATTGATTTTTTTCAGTGTTGATTTATTCAAAAAGTATGGTTCAGCACAACTAGAGCACAGTGAATCTAGATAAACAGTTAATAAACTAGTGCCACTGTTCCTGTACATTTTTACATGATTTAAGCACATTTGGAATATTCTACTGTAGCACTTGGTGTACTCTACTTTAAGTGCAGTAAGAGATTTCCAGAGATTAAGAAACAAACTCCTGGACAATCTCTAATACTCTGAATGTGTCGAAATGGAATCTATCTTTCAAATATTGCATTATTTTATTCTGAATCAAGAGTTGGATTTTCTACAAATTACAACAAATTACATTTGGGGTACAGATAATCCTTGAGTTAACAACCAGAATCGAGCCCCAAATTGATGTTGCTAAGTGAGACATTTACTAAGTGCCTTTTGCCCCATTTTACAACTTTTCTTGACACATGTTAAGTGAATCACTGCCATTGTTAAATTCATTACACAGTTGCCAAGGGAATCTGGTTTCCCCAATGACTTTGCTTGTCAGAAAGTCGCAAAAGGGGATCACAGGACCTTGGGACTCTGCAATCGTCATAAAAATGAGTCAGTTGCCTAGTGTCTGAATGTTGCTTACATGGCTATGGGGATGCTGTAATGGTCATAAGTGTGAAAAGCAGTCACAAGTCACTTTTTTCAATGCCGTTGTAACTTTAAACGGTCACTAAATGAACTGTTGTAAATTGAGGACTACCTGTATTTTGGTAATATAGATATGCTATGCTATATTTAGGTTTGTTGGATTCACATTGCTCTGAATGGTCAGTGAAAAGTATTCTTTCCAAAAAAAACTATAGGTAAATTGTAGTGTTTCCTGCCTTTGAAATTTACTTACTTCTAATCTCTCTCAGTCTAGATCATGCCTCTCGTCAGTAAAATCCAGAGTGAAACACAATCCCACCTTTGAGAAGCAGTTTGATTTTGATATCCCTGTGTTTATGTGGGAGCAGCACTTCACTCCTGAGACTTGGGGGAGACTGAAGGATCGCAGTGTTCCATATGGTTGGCGTGATGTGCCATATCCAGGTATAAGAATCATATAGCGCTTCAGTGGTAGAAGATGAGGCTTTGATGAACGTTGCATCTTGTTGGATGCATGCAGTTGGACCAAATTGTTTGATAGTTGGCCTAACCTTATTGCTGCAACAGATGTCAAAATGCTTAGCAGACAAACCAGTGTTCATGATTCATATAAATGTTCTGAGAGTTTTAAACTTTCCAAACTTACAAGATACAGGGCCAGGAGTTGCATATTACAATATGGCTCCTTCAGGGCACCCCCATTCCCTTTTACAGATTTTAACACAGAAGTACCTTGCCTTGAACAACCGTGTGTTTTTTTTTTTTAAAGAAATTGATGCTTATCAGAACTGATATTTTCATTTGAAATTAGATAGATCACAGTGGACTTCCACTCCTACTATGCATCAGATACTACATTAAAGATTTAAATTGCTCTTTGTATTAAAGATGAAGTCTGTCATCATCTGTGTCTGCATATGGATGTAGTTTTCTCTCAAAAGAGAAGTCATAGGGGCAGTGTTTCTCAACCTTGGCAAATTTAAGCTGAGTGGATGACAATTCCCAGAATTTCCCGGTCAGCATTATTCACATCTCAAAGTTGTCAAGAAGAACTGCATAAAGGTCCATGATTAAGACAGCAGGAAAAGGTGGTTAATACTTTTTGTATTAAGGGCCCTATTGCCCTTAACCAAAAATCCCTCTCTCAATAAAAGTTGCAGCTTGAGTCCTTAAGGACTGCAGTATAAAGGATAAGGTTTAGCATCCTGGGGTGTACAAATTCAGATTCAATCACCTTGCAACTTTTTAAAACTTGTGAACAGTGAGTTAAATATGTTCCGTGGAACGTCTTGTAGATTAAATAGTAGTGGGGCAAGGTAGACTTGCATTCATACAGCTTGTGCCCCCAACTAAGGATCAAAAGAAGGTGGCCAAGTGTATCTCGACCTGATGCTCTGTTGATGTATTGGTCATTGGATTCTGGGAATTGTAGAATAGCAGGCATTATTGTCTGGGGTGGGTGAATGTAGCTTGTCAAATCAGATGGCTGGTGGCTGGTTGTAGCATACAATTGAACCTCTGCACCTTTTGTACACGTTGATGTGTTGATGGGTAATGTGGACATCCCCTTGCCTGTTTTAATCTCCCTGTGGATGCTGCTACTTATACATCCATAGACAAGAAATTGCGGGGGGTGGGGTGGGGGGACGACTCTCAAACCATCTATTTATGATTCCCTAAAATGAGAAAATAATGTGCTCAACATCTCTGACACGTGGATAGATTTAGTTATTAGGCTTAGGCAAGAAATAAACACATTGCGTTTGATACATTTTAAATCTATATATCACAGAGGGATTGCAGTGCCTCAATAGCCCATTGTGAAGATGCACAAAAGAAGTACCCAACTGAGCAAGTTTTGCAACCATTTTCGAATATCCTGATGTGCCAGTTTGACCCAAATAGATAAGAAGAGCACTATGGTTAGGAATACACCGTACCTTTGGAGCGTGATCGCTGTAGTTTCTGTGCCCAAGGGGAAACATATTTTGTTTATAACGTTACTCTGTAAATTCATTTGACTGGAAAAACCTCTTTATCTATCTAGTTGCAGCATCCAAAAGCTTTAACATATTGGATTGCTTAGCACCATTTTTATAATGTTCATGCAATCTGGTTGTTTTTCTTTAAAAGCTGAGATCTGGGAGGGGAGATATCACAATTGGAAATGCTGGTACTATCCATGTCTTGTGATATTTGCCTGTATCAAAGGTCCCAGTGTCTTTCTGATGACTAGCTTGAAGAAAAAGGCTTTGACACAACCCACTCTATTGTTGCCTCTTCCCAGTGACTTCTGGGAATTATCTTGCTTCCTGCCCCATGCCCAGTCTTAGTCACTTGTCAAATATCTCTGGCTGATGCCGTGCATCTCTTAGAGGGGAGTGAGCAAGGGACATACTTTGAATGAAGGAGAAGTGAAGCAGAGTAGGATTAAACTGGCTGTAGAGAGTTTTAGGAAGACCATGTGAGAATCCGCAGTGTGTCTGGACTTAGAACTTGGTAAAGGATCAGTTGCAAGGTTGCTACTTTCCCAGACATTTCTTGTGTAAAAGTTATTTGTGACTGATGTACAAGAAAAAGAGCTAGCTCCAGTGCCAAGAAAGAGTAAAAAAAAAAACAAATTCTTTTCACCACCACTCCTTGCAGGACCTCATGCTAATTCAAAAGGAATTATTAAAGCAGTAAAGCTAAAGTTCAGCGTCTGACATTTTAGAAGCAGGACTGAAACCATTAATCATTTTTGAGACATATAATTCATCAAAGATTGTTACTCAGTCCTAAAAATATTTCTGACACAAAAAGGCTGTTCATAGTGGACATCAGTATCAGTATATCTTTTGTTTAGTAGAAATAGTGTTACCTTCATTAAATATGCTCAAACTGTATTGTTCAGTCTACAACATAGATGTATCTGTATTGTATAGATTCATGGATGTCTTCAAGGGTCACATCGGAATTAAGTGTTCATTTCAACCATTACTCACACCATCGTTGCTTAACTACTTCAATATAACAAAATAACAGAGTTGGAAGGGACCTTGGAGGTTTTCTAATCCAACCCTGCTCATACTCTTTCAAACAAATGGCTGCCCAATTTCTTCTTAAAAATCTCCAGCGATGGGGCACCCACAACTTCTAGAGGCAAGCTGTTCCACTGACTAATTGTTTTGTCAGGAAATTTCTCCTTAGCTCTAGGTTGGTTCTCTCCTTGATTAGTTTTGGCAGCTGCCAAAAAAGCCAATTGAATCCTAGGCTGCATTAACAGAGGGATAGAATCAAGATCACGGGAAGTGTTAATGCCACTTTATAATGCCTTGGTAAAGCCATACTTGGAATATTACATCCAGTTTTTGTCACCACAATACAAAAAAGGTGACCAAAACTGGATGTAGCCTAGGAATGAATTGGCTTTTTTGGCGGCTATAGCACACTGCTAGCTCATATTTAAATGATTGTTCACTAGGACTCCTGGATCCCTTTCACCATTACTGCTGTTGAGCCATGTACCATCTATTCCATATCTGGACATTTGTTTTTTCTTGCCTAAGTGTAAACCTTTTCTGCATATTTCCCTTCATGTAGATGTAATTCCGTAAGGACTACACATTGAGTGTGGTTTGTCAGCCAGTTATGAATCCATCTGGTTGTGATGCTGTCTATCCCATGATTTTCTATCTTATCAAGAAGTAGGTTGTGATCTGCTTACTGAAGTCCAAGTATACTTTGTCCACAGCATTTCTCTGATCTATTAATTTAGTTATTTTGTCAAAGAATGCAGTAAGATTGCAATGGTCAGTTTTTGACGATCCATGCAACAATCTCAACTACAAACAGAGAGGGATAGTTCTATCTTGCAGACACTGCATTGGTTGCAATGGCTCAGTTCAAGGTTCTGCCTTTGATCTAAGTAGTCCTCAGTTTATAATGGCAATTGGGACTGGAATTTCTGTGACTAAGTAATAGCACTTAAACTTACATACTGCTTCACAGTGTTTTACAGCCCTCTATAAACAGTTTACAGAGTCAACATATTACCCCCAACAATCATTTTACTGACCTCAGAAGGATGGAATGCTGAGTCAAGCTTGAGCCGGTGAGAATCGAACTGCTGTCAGTTGGCACAATTAGTCTGCAGTACTGCATTTTAACCACTGCACCACCACAGCTTTATCAGTGCAGTCGTAAAGCACAACTACCTTGCTTAACAACAGCAATCCCTGTAGTTTTGGCTGTTGTCATTAACTGAATCCTATGGTTGTTAGGTAAGGCAATTTTATGCGGGCTTCTTACAACCAAATCAGTGGACAAGCAAGCAGAACATTTCAAATCCCGGGCTGGCTGGCAGGCAGATAAATGACTGCTTCGAGGTGGGATAGGGAGCATGGTGGAGCACTAGAGGTGCATTGTGGGTCGGAGAGGATGTGCAAAAGAATCCTAGGTCAGTGAAGGTGTGGCACAGGCCAGAGAGGGTACATGGGGCTGTTTAGCTGGTGCGCAAGCATAGAGGGACTGTGGGAGGTTATGCAGGTGAGGGGAGACTTATCTCAGTGACTTGCACAACCTCCCCTGCTAATTCCCCCACTGACTTTCTGGGGAAGCCGGCAGGAAAGGTTACAAACTGTGATTGAAGAACACGACAGCATGGGAACCAGTTGCCAAGCACACAGATCACAAACATATGATTCAGGATGCTGACATGACAGAACTCCAAGGACCAGTCATAATGTTCACTGCCATTGCAATTTCAAATGGTTTCTGGATAAATGATCATAGATTGAGAATTACCTTATAGAGCTCAGTACAGTACATAACCACAAAATGGTCTTTCTCTCCTTCAGATTTAGCCTAAAATGTCCCATTTCCAAATGAGATGAAAGGTATGGAGTCCTCTGAACAGCTTGTACCCAGCTATTAAATTGAGTGTTTTGCTTGTCTCATGACAATTAACCTCAGTGTAGTGTTCCCTCTGCTTGCTTCTCTTGCTGCCTTGAATCTGTAGTGTTTTCATTCTCTCGCTGGAACTTTTTCCTAACTTGCCTCATTGCATTGTTTTAATCTGCAGTTATTGCATCCACGTTGCAGCTTCTCACCGAGTCTGTCCACAGTCAGCTAGTCGATGAAACCAAGTTCCTTAACTGTTGCATCTGCTGTGCCGTGGTTGGGAATGGAGGAATTTTGAACGGGTCTCGCCAAGGGAAGAAGATAGATGCTCATGACTTTGTCTTCAGGTAGAAACCCTCTTCCTTTGAAAGGTAGAAAGACACCATTTCTGGGTGGTTATAGAGATTTTAAAAACCCACAAGATCCATGCTCTTAAACTTTCAGAATAAAATCTCCGACATTTGAGTTATTTACTTAGTTGTGGCTCGTTGACAACTATCAATTCTTAAGGCTTTGCTTCTGTTGTTCCTTGCAGGCTTAACGGGGCAGTCACCAAAGGTTTTGAGGAAGACGTTGGGACTAGGACTTCCTTCTATGGCTTTACAGTGAACACTATGAAGAATTCTCTTGTTGCTTATGCGGAATATGGCTTTACACAGATCCCACAGGGAAAAGTAAAAGCACAGCTACATTCTTTCCAATTGCAGGATTGAGGAGTCCTTGGTGCTCTCTGAGTTTGCTTGTTTTCTTGCAGCCGTTTTATAACCCTAACTAGGTTACATCATCAGTGCTAGTAAGGAGTGTGGTTTGCTGTCAGTTTATATTCTGTCTGTGTGGGTGAGGGTGATCTTAGGGATTTGGGGGTTGGGCTGTTTACTGATGGCTGTTTGTTAGTTTCTGCAATGAAATACCTGCAAGAAAACAAGCAAGCTCAGAGAGCACCAAGGACCCCTAAATTTTAACCCTGAGCTACAAATATTCTCCTTAATTGCAGGCTTAGACTAAGATATTATTAACTTAAAGTCACATTTGCTTTAACATGAGTAGGTGGTTTTGCAGATTATTGCCCGTAGAATACTTTTCAGTTCAGGAAGGTTGAAGCCAGAACAAATGCTTTATAAGAGTCTTTCCAGCTTCACTTTTAAAAATCTTGTATGATCTTCAGTGGTAGGTTTGATGCTAAAACAGCATCAATACGAAGATTTCCTGAATTAAGTCAACTATTTAAGCATATGTTAAAGCTTTCGAAAACAATCAAGATTATAGCTATACAGTGCCCACTAAATATTTATTGTAGAAGGAGTAAGAACTGGGAACAGAGATACAAAATGGTTTATCTGGGAAAAGGTATACATAAATGGCTGAAATTATACATGCTTAAACTGCAACATATTTTCCCTTGTCAAACCTCATGCTTACATTTCCTTCTATGTTGGTTGTAGGATGTACAGTACATATTCATTCCATCAAACATACGAGACTACATCATGCTTCGATCTGCCATTTTGGGCAGTCCTGTCCCAGAGGGCTATGACAAGGGTGATATGTAAGTAATTCTGTTTGCGTGATTCTTGTTCCTCTACCTCATGGTTATGAACCACATACAATGTTATTTTAATGTTTTTAAACTTCTGGTTCAGCATGTGACCTCACCAAGACCTACTGACTACACAAATCCCCTATAAACAGAAGAAGACTGAAACCCGCTAAACTCCACTGAAGATGTTACCTAGCCTGGTAACGAAACATTTGGAAACCAACCCACAAGCTCAAAAAATAAACCCTCACCCACAAC